TTTGTATGATATATTTAATTTTTATATTTTTGTATATTTAAGGACAGAATTTCTAGGTGAAGTCAAGTGGCAGAAGGCTTCCACTTGGGATGTGGTTCTGTTGGCTTCATCAGGTGGTGACCTCCACCTTGCACTAGAGTGTTTTACAGCTGAGTGTGAAGCAGCAGGAAGGAGAATCAGCACCTCCAAGTCTGTGGCCATGGTCCTCAGCCTAAAACTTCAGGGTCAGGGATGAGTTATTGCCTCAAGTAGAAGAGATTAAGTATCTTGGGGCCTTATTCATGAGTGAGGGGATCATGGGAGTGGGACATCGACAGATGGATTGGTGCTGTGGCTGTGGTGACGCAGACACTGTACCAGTCCATCATAGATGTCAATCTTCTCACCTATGGTTAGTGACCGAAAGAAAGAGGTTATAAACTCATTTTCCCCCCAAAATGAGTTTTTTTGGAAGGGTGGTTGGCCTTTCCTTTAGAGAAAGGCCAACTGGGATAGATGTCCCAGTGGGAGGAGGCCCTGGGGCAGACACAGGGCATACTGAAGAGATTATATCTCTCAGTTGGCCTGTGAATGCATTGGCATCCCCCAGACAAGCTGGAGTAGGTGGCCGGGGAAAGGGAAGTCTGGGCTTCTCTGCTCATGTTGCTGCCCCCAAGACCCGGCAGCAGATAAGCAGAATAAAATGGATAGATATTTTAATTTTATGTTTTATTTTGTAAAATAAGCAAAGGAAAGTGGAGAAATTTGTGTTTGGCTGATTATTTTTATGTTGTAACAGTACCTCTTGGCAGTATACCATCAGACATTAGGTGCTTGGTGACAAGCACGCCACATTTGCCTGACTTGGTATTGTGCAAAATGAAGTTGCAGCATTATTTGGAGTGAGCCTTAGAATCATCTCCAAATTTAAGGGGATATACAGTGGGGCAAAAAAGTATTTAGTCAGCCACCGATTGTGCAAGTTCCCCCACTTAAAATGATGACAGAGGTCAGTAATTTGCACCAGAGGTACACTTCAACTGTGAGAGACAGAATGTGAAAAAAAAATCCATGAATCCACATGGTAGGATTTGTAAAGAATTTATTCGTAAATCAGGGTGGAAAATAAGTATTTGGTCAATAACAAAAATACAACTCAATACTTTGTAACATAACCTTTGTTGGCAATAACAGAGGTCAAACGTTTACTATAGGTCTTTACCAGGTTTGCACACACAGTAGCTGGTATTTTGGCCCATTCCTCCATGCAGATCTTCTCGAGAGCAGTGATGTTTTGGGGCTGTCGCCGAGCAACACGGACTTCCAACTCCCGCCACAGATTTTCTATGGGGTTGAGGTCTGGAGACTGGCTAGGCCACTCCAGGACTTTCAAATGCTTCTTACGGAGCCACTCCTTTGTTGCCCGGGCGGTGTGTTTTGGATCATTGTCATGTTGGAAGACCCAGCCTCGTTTCATCTTCAAAGTTCTCACTGATGGAAGGAGGTTTTGGCTCAAAATCTCACGATACATGGCCCCATTCATTCTGTCCTTAACACGGATCAGTCGTCCTGTCCCCTTGGCAGAAAAACAGCCCCATAGCATGATGTTTCCACCCCCATGCTTCACAGTAGGTATGGTGTTCTTGGGATGCAACTCAGTATTCTTCTTCCTCCAAACACGACGAGTTGAGTTTATACCAAAAAGTTCTACTTTGGTTTCATCTGACCACATGACATTCTCCCAATCCTCTGCTGTATCATCCATGTGCTCTCTGGCAAACTTCAGACGGGCCTGGACATGCACTGGCTTCAGCAGCGGAACACGTCTGGCACTGCGGGATTTGATTCCCTGCCGTTGTAGTGTGTTACTGATGGTGACCTTTGTTACTTTGGTCCCAGCTCTCTGCAGGTCATTCACCAGGTCCCCCCGTGTGGTTCTGGGATCTTTGCTCACCGTTCTCATGATCATTTTGACCCCACGGGATGAGATCTTGCGTGGAGCCCCAGATCGAGGGAGATTATCAGTGGTCTTGTATGTCTTCCATTTTCTGATGATTGCTCCCACAGTTGATTTTTTCACACCAAGCTGCTTGCCTATTGTAGATTCACTCTTCCCAGTCTGGTGCAGGTCTACAATACTTTTCCTGGTGTCCTTCGAAAGCTCTTTGGTCTTGGCCATGGCGGAGTTTGGAGTCTGACTGTTTGAGGCTGTGGACAGGTGTCTTTTATACAGATGATGAGTTCAAACAGGTGCCATTCATACAGGTAACGAGTGGGGGACAGAAAAGCTTCTTACAGAAGACGTTACAGGTCTGTGAGAGCCAGAGATTTTCCTTGTTTGAGGTGACCAAATACTTATTTTCCACCCTGATTTACGAATAAATTCTTTACAAATCCTACCATGTGGATTCATGGATTTTTTTTTCACATTCTGTCTCTCACAGTTGAAGTGTACCTCTGGTGCAAATTACTGACCTCTGTCATCATTTTAAGTGGGGGAACTTGCACAATCGGTGGCTGACTAAATACTTTTTTGCCCCACTGTAAACAGACTTTTCAGTAGTATAATATTCATTGCCAAGAAGCACTGTTACATCAACAAAATAATCAGTTTGCAGATTTTACTGCTTTGTTGCTTTACATTCCTTATGTTACTTTGCTAAGTTAATTTTATATATAATTATATCTATTTGTTTTTAATTTTATCCAGTCATCTACCTGACTTGCATATTAATAACAATTTCCAGTCTTACCCACTATTCAATCCACAATTAATTCCACATGCCTGAAGGGAGGAAACGCTGGAGGCACAGTGAGAAAACATGGCACCATCATCAGATGAAGAATAAAGAGAGTAACCAATAGAGGGTAGATTTTTAGGGATAGAACTTCAGTTTGAGATTGTACAGTAATACAAAGTCATAACCATTATGAATTTGAGAAAAAGTTATAGTTTTAGAATTATTTTTCTCTACAGATTTTAATTTGGTAGCAGCCATATTAAGCTTCACTCCAAAGCTTTAGTGATACAGAAAAGTATCCATCTGTTCTAAACTGACCTGAGACAAGATTTTGTGGTGAAGTGTAATGTAAAGCATATTAGCATCTTCAATCAGTCAAATGCTTTGTCTGCTCATTTTTCCAGAAATGTTTCAGTTTTGTCTTTATCATTTTTTAATTTTTCTCTTTTCTTGTGTTTAGTCATCTTCCTCTACTTCAGTCTTCTTCCCTTTATTCTATTGCTCTCTTACTGTTCTCTTTTCCCTCTGCTTGTCTCTCTCCCTTTAAACTGTTCCCTATGTGCCCACGCACCATAACCAAACCAGCCTGCTTATTCATGTTTCACTGAGGTATCACTTTATTTCTGTGCTATTATTTTTTCTGTGTAGTCGCCTCGGTATGACTTGCCCCAGACAGCGCTACGCTGTCCCACCCTCATTATATTTTCACACTTCGCTTCCCTAGGACACAAAATGCACACACATTTCCACACACACTAAATGCATTATGTGTGTCTTTTGTTTATGCCAGCTTGGGTTCAATGGAAATCCATCTGTGTGTGGGTTTTTTTGTTTTTTTTGTACGTGTGTATAGGGAAATGTAATAATTTATTCTTTTTTTGGTGTTTTTACCATAGTAGGTTGCCTTGTAGGTTATTCATTCATGATAGTTTCCACAGTATGCTTATTGTTATCATCAGGACCTGTCATCACTACAAAAACACTGCACTATAGGCATAAAACTTTCGTAAGTAGGTTCAATTTTTTTTTTTAATTATCTTTTAAAAATGGATAAACATTAGTATATATTGATAGCAAATCAAACTTAACTTTTATTTTACATATATTGCTAACCTGCCAAAGCTTAGCTTAAACAGACAATAAAACACACTGCTGTCACCCTACTCAATCCTGCTAAATCCGAATTGATGGAAAGAAGGAGGCACCTTTCTTAAAGTGTGCAATATCCACTTTACACCAGAAATAAATAATAAGAATCACAGAATATAGTGAAATTAAAATATTTTGAAATACCCTGTACAGTATAAGCAAAACTATTTTAACATTTGGTGAAAAAGTTCTTTTGTAGTAAGCAGCTGGTAAGCAGGTGTTTACCAAAATAAGTTTCCAGGGCATTACGTGCATACATCTGAATCTCTGGCAACATTTATGGTACTGTAACCGAAGACCAAAGCTAGCTTAAAAAAAGAACCATTCTCTTCCTTGACTTTACTAAGCTGTAACATAATGAAATATTTATGGTGGGGGCATTTAGCTTCACAATTAAACAGGTTACAGTAAGTGATCAATTCTGTGCTTCAGTGCATTCCCAACAGTGCTTTCATCAGAATTCCTTGCCCTCTTTGGAACTGAGATACTGCATCAAAACCACAGTAATCTGAGGCTACAAACTCCCAATGTTTATGAAATGTCTGGCAAATATGCTGGAAGATGGATAAAAATTGAATGTAAATATATGGAAATAAACTGCAAAGGAGCAATATGTCATTTTTGATATATGCCTGTGTAAGGCCTTTAGAATAGGGATGAAAAACAGCGATGCATTAATGTAACCTGTGATGCTCAGTCTAACACTAATATATAAAACTGTGAGCTAATGTGTTCGCACATATTTTGCCTTGTAAAGAAACTATAGAGAAATACAATGTATTTTGATCTGTGTTGGTGGTTTTTAACACGTATGATTTATTTAGAAAAGCTAATTGATGTGTGCATATGTTTATATCAGTATATGTAAAAATGAATAAATAACACAGCCCAGTCAGCCTTGCATTTAAATACTTGAATTTATGTTGGCAGATGATTAGCTGCTTTGGATTTCTGTAAAAACTGAGGCTGTAAACAGTAAACATTAGATATTTGTTTTATGAAAGGAGTGTTTTTATAATTCTAATGTTGTTAATTATTTTCTTTTCATTTTTCTTGTCCCCATCCTTTTTCTCTTATGCTTTTTTTCTCCTTATTTCTTATTTTCCTCATTTATCACCCATCTCTCATCAGTGTCTGACAGCCCCTCAGTAGCAGCAGGCGGTGGACCAGGCGGAGGGCCGGACATCTCCCAGTCCCACTTCTCCTCCTCTCTTCCCACCTACCTCCCTGTCCAATGCCAACTAAGTGGTGCTGATTCCGCCTTCTTCCTGCGAGAAGCCAATCAGGAGGTTATGCGAAATGGCAGCCTATCATCACGGACTGAGCCATTCTTTCTCCACCAGCTAGAACCAGGCATTTCTGCCCCACACTCTCTGCCAAGTGTAAACTGCAGTTATGGAAATCTGAGCACTGAGCAGCCAATCCCTGTGGAATTGCTTCAAGGTCCACCACCACACCTGCTCCTTTCAACAAACCGTGTGACGTTGAACTGGAAGGTCAAAGGTCAGGTAGTTGTGCCTAAAGTGGGATCAACAAGGCCCTGGATACAGGTATTGTATTGTTTTATATTGTTTATATGTTTTTTCAAACATATACTGACTTAACTTTGAGGCTTCACATACAATACACTTACCAAGTCAAGAATCAAGAAGCACTAGTTACATCATTTGGTAATTTATTTACCTGTTTGTGCTTGCATTCAGCTTTATTTAATACTTAAAAATTGATTCCATTTATTATTCAATGAAAACAATGTAAATGCACCTGCTCTTAGAGACATGTTTTTTTTTAATCCTGTTAAACCTGCTTCACATTTTTTGGCCACTAGGGGTGGTAGGGAGTAAAGTTGAACTAGAAAGCGTCTCAGCAAACACATGTTTGCATATTTGGGAGAAAGGAAGGATATTAGTATTTATCATATTTATATCCATCTGATTGGAGAAGCTCCCATATTCAATTTCTGTCCTCTCTGTTATGGTTTCCTCAAATTCTGAAAGGAAACAGTACAGATCTGTAGCAGCTAAATACTCCATTATGTTCACAGGCTAGTTGCCCATTTTTTGTGCCATACATCAGGGAAATGTAAGAGCAGTGAGAGTAAGCCAAAACAATAAAGCTGTGGTTCAGAAAATTAAACCAATGAGCTGTAAAGCTAAGAGGCTGCAGAGTCAGGTGATAATTCTTTATCACTTTATCACCAGGAGAAATACCCTTTACACACAGTAATTTGGTCCAGTGCTTATACAACATAAAAACATTAAGTTGCCCAGCTTTAATGAATAGACGAATATCTGAGATCTGTAAATGACAGGGAAGAAAATGGTTTTATAAAACAGAAAAAAAGATAACTTATAGTCTTTGATTGCGTCTTACGAGCTGTCCAGATTTTTCCATTATGACATTATAGGCTTTTGTTTCTTCTTCAGGTATTATTTTACCTGGTAGGGCGGCGTTGGGATGAGCCTGAACCACCTCCATCATCCCTCCTCCCATGCATCAGGGCCTTGGCCATCCGTGACACTAGTGAAGCAGCACCCTCGGCAGGCTGCCGACTCATGGGACCATCTGGTATCTGTGTTGTCCGTCTGGAGATTCCCCCAGCTTGGTTTACACCACCACAAGTGAGAAAGAGACCTCCTGAAGTGGCGCTACCATCAGTGGATGTGTATTACTCAATTATACCAGTGGAAGGTGCTGGTCAAGAGTGTCCCTCCATTGTTAATGAGCCATGGAAAGCTCCAAGTGCAAACCCTGGGCCACATGGTGGTCTGGCTATGGGCCTTGGGGGGCAGTGGAGCACACTAGTGGATGAAGGTCTTCAAGACATGCTGAAAGTTGGTTCTGTTGCAATGAGCATGGGCCCTGTTTCTGCCAAAGGAGAAAGACTACAATTAGATGACAATGTGGAAGTTTTGGAGCCTCCCAGTCCTGTTCGGCTTGGCAGAACAGTGGCTTTTGCCATCTACATGAAGACGACTTCAAATACGGAACAGTTTACATTGAGGTGGGAATGCATACACTTTCACTTTATCGTCTGGCTTCGTTTTTATTTGTCATTCTGATATGCATTTCAGTTTCACTCTGGTTCTTTTTCTGTCATCTTCACTTATTTCTTTCCTTCCCATCCGCTCTCTCTCTTCTTTCAACACCGCCGCCTCCCGAGGTTGATGGCTGTCACCTTTGTGTACTCAGCCTCTTTCAGGAGCCAGCAATGCAAATAACAACTTCATGAATATTCATGTGTGATCCAAGGAGGAAAGAAAACACTGAAAATGAAAAGCAGGAAAGGGAAAGGGTAACACTGAGGGACTTAAGGTTGGGAAGAGAGACAAGTATAAGAAAAGGTAAAAAAAAAGTCATGCAAGGTCAGCTACATTACGTTTGTTCTGATATAAGCAGCAGGATGTTTTCAGGTGGCTGTTTGTAGGGGGAATAAAATCTTTTCTGGTGACATAACGTTTATAACCCCTGATCTTGAGCTATTATGGAGATCTGCATTCAGTCTCTGCCTCATCATTTCACTGTCTTTAGGGATTTCAGGCTGACAAATGATAGATGTTCAAATTTATCATTCTATTTAATGTACATCCCAACACACATTGATGTGGCTTGCTGTAGTATTACCATAAAATTGTACTCCTACGAGGGTTAAACAATTCAGGATATTTTGGGGAGCTTTGTGAACCATGTTATGACTCCCTTTGTCACATTAGGCTTGGCTTACTGTGTTTTAACATTTTCAAAGGATTTCATTTGATTTAGCTAGTGAAGACTGGACAGCAAAAAGTACTTGGAACAGCTTTAGCTGATGCACATTTCCAAACGATGTGTTGCCTCAAGATATTTTCTGGTAAGTAAGGTGTCTTGAGCTGTTTCCACTCATGTATCAGGAGAATATCAGGATAGTCAAACATTTGTAGTTGTGTTTTCTCACATGTAACACATAGCAAGAGATAGTCAGCCTCAGAATCCTACAACTGGAAACAATCGGTTTGCTTTAGACAGGGCTGCTGCCTGAGTAGAGCTTTCAGGAGACAACATGTGTGACATCCATTTACTCGTTGCAAATTCACTGGACAATTATCTGCTGTATTTTCACATGGTGCAATAATGTCTGCACGGCGTAGTGGTTTGCACATTTGCATTTGTATGCAAAAATCCTCAGTTCAAAATCAGAACAAGACATAAACGTGCCCTCAGTGGGTCATAAGGTATCGTACTCTTAGTGTTAGTCCCAAGCTTCCAAAAAAGAATCTGTGTTAAATCAAAAAATGTGGTTCCAGCTGCAGTGGAAAGTCTTGGGAGACGAGTGAACAGCCAGAAGAACCTTTATTCTTACATGTGTGCAGTTGGACATAACTCGGGCTTGGGAACTGCCATGTTTAAGACACCCAGACTAACTGATTATATATATATATATATATACTTCCAGCAGGTGATCTAACTTGATGCCTAATTCCATTTTTTTGTACTGCACATTTGGACCATTTATGTTAAGTGAACTGATTTATGTAATCAAGGGACATATTTACTACCACAGACAGTCAAAATTGAGATTGATATTAAGCAAGTCAAAATCCTTTTACCATCAATTTACACTTAATGTGATAGTTCATCTTTAACCACCACCAAAGTTTATTGTTGTTTACTTACGCTATTAAGAGATATTTTGGAATGGTTGGCATACACAATTGAGTAATTTGCACCACATGAACAGTTGCAACAAGGCTAGCAGGGGAGTCGGTAAAACACTGGTTATACACATTCAGAGTCACCATAAGGAGGCAGGACACAGAGTTGTGTTACTGGGTTTTTATGCATTAACTAAGGGACATAAAAGCCCTGCCTAGTTGGCTCAACAATAACAGCTTGCAAAGCTGGTAATGACAGAATGGTTTATGAAACACTTTACTGTTAACGTCTGATTCTGGTCAAAATGAATGGTCAGCCCCCAAATATTATTTATTTTAACTAAATTAACTGGCAGTTGGTATTGGCGGTTTGGTGTCATGAAATGGCATCCCAAATCATTGTGCACCTTATTGTTATGCATTTTTTACTTTTCACATCTCATTCCATGCCGTCAATATCCTAACCCTGAGATGCATGCTAACCCTAACCTTTTCACATGTCATTTGACAGCATCAAATGACACCAGATAAAGGTTATGGCTAAGGTAAACACCAGGGTTAGGACCAATAGTTGAAGAGAGAGATAGAAAATCAGTGAAAAATGCATTAAGATCCATCCATCCATCCATCCATTCGCTTCCGCTTATCCTTTTCAGGGTCGCGGGGGGCGCTGGAGCCTATCCCAGCTGTCATAGGGCGAGAGGTGGGGTACACCCTGGACAGGTCGCCAGTCTGTCGCAGGGCCAACACACAGGGACAGACAACCATTCACACCTAGGGGTAATTTGGATTATCCAATTAACCTATCCCCACATTAAGATGACAAGTGAAATATAGTCGCATGCTAATCATATGCATCGTTAGTTTAACTAAGCATCTTAAAAATACAGTTTCTGAGGTTATTTTATGATGAAAAGATGTTATAGATCAGTGTTCTTATATCTTCAAACAAATCAATACATTTAGAATTAATAGATTAAATATACATAACCACCTGCACCAGTTTGTGGAAGCTATCCTGTTGCTTTTTGAATAAAGCTTTCTGCCCAATTGTGTTTTATGTATGTGACTAAAGACTGGCCACTTACGTAGTGCATCAAATGCAAAGTAGACAAGAACTCGTAGGTTTACTTGCTCGATTTACATTGACAGGTAAACAGAGAAGTGACAGCCTACACTCACCACAGATGAACAGCAGTCAGAGTTGTTTCACTTACATTTAGATTATGCACTTGAATTTGATGTGAGAAAACAGAATTCAGTTGACTACAGTCTGCAATCTAGTGGTGAGATTTTACACACTCTACCTTTAACACTATAATCTAAGTCAATTTGACACATGTTCCTTACAGATACAACTATATCTAAAGTTGTGCATTTCTTTGCACAGCAAATGTGAAGTTGATCTCAGGACACAGAAGGAAACAAGAGGCGGCCAGAGTGCAATGCAACTTGTCTTGCTACCTGCTGACAAACACACACAGACACAGAGGGAAATAAATATTCCACCAACATCCAGTGTTATTTCTCTCTGCCATGAATACACGCATACATCATATGAACATTCATGCATACTGATGATGTTTGTTTTATGTGTGTGCATTAAGTGTGTATTGAAGCACACACCCAAACACAAAAAACACAAACTTACCTGTTGAAGTGATGAGATGTGATGTTTTGGTTCCCCCTACAGACACTTTGTCTCTGCCTTCATCGTGGAACACCATTGTTGTGTGTATGTTTATGCATTGTCTTGTGGGTATGCAGTTGTGCCTGGTACTGCTATGGAAAGAAAGTGTATGGAATAAAAATCATCCTTTCCTTTTTTCCTTTCCTGTTATTTATTGTGGCTATCTCGAATTATGCTTTGTTTCTGCTTCCGTTCAGTGTTTTTTCTCTCCTAGGTTTGTCCACTCATTTTTCCACGTTTGAAAAACGTCCAACTTCTATTTTACATATTGCACTTATCTCCTATCTTTATGTCTCAGTTGAGAAATGTGCCTGTTTATATGTGTGTGTGTGTGTGTCCTACTTGCAAGTCTTGCCCTTTGCCCAAGCAAACAGTTCAATGGATAATCTCCCATGTTAGACGCAGAGTCAGACATGTAATAAGGCTTAAGTGGATTTCATTCCTGTGCGTGAGCGTGAGCGGGTGTGTGAGTATGTATGTGTACGACACATAATAAGCCTTAAGTGTGCTGCATTACGCTGAGGTGATGTGATTATGATAAACTGCTGAAGAGATGGAGGGACACGGAGAGAAAAGGAGTGAGAGAGACATACAAGAGTGAGAAATATTAGAAAATGGAAGAAATGAAAAAGAAAATTATTAGAAAAGTCTTAAGAGAAATGGGTAAGAAGGTAAAGCATTTCACTTGCCTTTCTTCTTCGTACTTCTGAAAAATTAACTAAGAATAAGATGGAAGGACCAGTGACAAGAGGCAGCATGTGTTAACTAAATTGGACTGGGCATCCTTCCTGTATCAACTGGCCTTGAGCTTGTAGTCTCACATAACCATACATGATTCTGTCAGTTTGGGAAGAAACTACATGTCTACAGACAATGAGCTCAAACTGTCTAAAAGTGTGGTACTGATTAAGTTATACTGCCAAGTTTTCCTCCTCCAGTTCTTTTTTCCAGTCATAGCTTTTACTGTGGTCATTTTAAATGTTTCATTTTTCTACTACTTTGACTACATTTAAACAAAGTTAAAGGTTCCACCAGATACATCTCTGTTATCACTCAACTTCTCTTTGAACATCCAATGTGGTTTTAAAATAGATAGCTCTCGGTGTGTAATGTTGTTACTACCATGCTGCTTTGAGTTCATTAATATCCTTTTATGGACTAAGAAGAAAATTAGAAGTAAAATTCTATCCATCCGTCCATTTTCTTCCACTTATCCAATTCAGGGTCACCAGGGGGCTGGAACCCAGTTGGCTCTTGCTCATATTTTAAACATAACTAGCAGCCACTTTCTCATCATTCAATTTTCAAGTAGTCAGTTTTTTTTTAATATTAATTTTTTTTTCAAAATATAAAAAATACTGTTGTGTAGAAACAGACATTTGACAAATGTTTTTCTCAAACTCCCCTTCACAGAGCAACTGTCTGCTCATTAACCATGTGACTGAGTGAAACGAAACATCATCAATTAACAGAACAGACATGCTAGATGAATTTCTAATTAGTTTTTGACACGCGCAAGCTTGGGCTTTTATAAACAATCAAAGAACTCTGTGATAATGGGTCAAGCATAAATTGACTCTTGGACTCTTTGTGCCTTAGCCTGTATTTCTGAAAGGCAAAGAGGAGAACATGGGGAGGAGAAAACACCTGAGAAAAGAAGCCAGTCTGTTTTTGTGCTCATTG